GGGTCCTGGTGCCAGGTTCGTCACCGGGCCTTGGGGTTCTCAAGTCTAGTGTTACTCCTGACGAAGGCTGAAGGCAGACAAAGGCCATTTGACTTGCACTGTTTCAGCAACTGGCCCTACCCTACCCTTGAACCGACAAGTCTGGGAGTACATGCTGTTTACGGCTTCAACTCTCAGCGCTACACATTCCCAAGCGGCTAACCCAGGCATGCGCGGTACAGTACAGTGCAAGGTAAGGAAGGCAGTACAAGGCAGTGGCAGGCAGCAGCAGTGCAGCAGCAGCTCAAAAAGCCCCCCTGGCTCGTTGAAATAAAAGGCACCAGTACATTGAAGGTTAGAGATGCCTGAGATGCCAGGGTGGCCTGTGAAGCTGGAGCGGCGACCTGCTGAAAAGGCACTGCTATTTCAGGCCATGGCTCCACCGTGGCACTACGTACTAGCCGGAGCATCACATGTGCTGCGAGTGTTGCTGCAGGGCGGTTGCCAGAGTGTCCATGCTGGTGACGATCACTGGTGCCGGCCTTGAGCTGGATGATGGTCTGTCCCACTCCGTGTAGACCGTCGGCGTGTGGCTAGGGACCGGTGGCGGTCCTCGCTGCACCCAGCCATGTGGGCCCATCTGTGGGAGAGCGCTCAAGACTTTCTCGACACCACCTTGCACCTCATTCAGCATGCGCAGTCGTTGTCCCATCACCGCGCTGTGGTTTTCCAGCGCACTGGAGACGTCCGTGAGTTGGTCCACCAGCCCTGTGCACATACTTTCGATTTTCTGGGCTCGGTCCGCCAGGGCTTCTTCCTGGCCTGCAACCCATCTGAGGAGCTTCTCCGACTCTTCCACCACATTCTTGAGCTCCACTTCCCACGGGCTGGGGGCTCCCTTGGCTATCACGTTGAGGGCTTTCTCACTGAAGTCAGAGGCCTGCGAGCACGTCTTTTCCAGGTTGCGCACCAGGGCCACTATGTTCCTGATGTCCCCCTGGAGTGCTGCTTTGTGCTTTTCGCCATCATTTTTGGTCTCCTCGAGCTTGTCCTTGATACGCACGATCAGTGCGTGGTCGTCCCTCATGTAGCCGTTGGCCTGGTCGACCTTGGCCAGCAGGTTGGACAACTGGTCCTTCACACCGTCGAACTGTTCCTTGAAGGGCGCGATGTCCACTGTCACCCGTCGGGTCTTCAGTGCCGTGGCTGAGGTGCTCAGCTCCTGCAGTGTGTCCTGCAATGTCTTCATCCTGGTCTCCAGCGCCCCTTTGACGTCCTTCAAGAACTTGGTCGTCTCGGTCGGAGTCATCTGCTGGAGGGACCCCATAAGGGATCCGATTTCCTTGAGGAGGTCGCTGATCTCAGCTCCAGAGACGTTGCCGATGTCTGCCATCCTTTGCTGTATCTGTTCCAGCAGGGAGTCGTGCTGGCTCGTCGTAGTTGACACGGAGGTCACGTCTTGCTGCAGTTGCGACAGCAAGGAGCCGTGCGTCGTGACTGCCCCTGTGAGAGTGGTCACGGATTGCTGGAGGGTATGCAGGAGGCTCGGGACGGTGTCATCCAGGGACTTCAGCTGTGCTTGTATCTCCAGAATCCCTGTCGCCGTGTCACCAGGCTGGCGAGTTCCTGTCCGCAACAGCCGCTGCAGGTCCTTGCTCAGCGCTTGGCTCAGGCTGTGGCGAAGGAAGTAGAAGAAGATCAGCACCGACAAAGTGGCCATCAGAAGAGTCATGAGGAGCTGCTGCGGTGATGTCAGGACCGAGTTCAAGCTCAGTACCGGCACCGCTTGGGCACGCTCCAAGAAGTCCTGAACTTGCTCCGTTGCTGGTCCCATCTCGACGTGAAGGAAGACAGGGAGCGAGGGAGACTGATGATTCTTGGACCTGAGTCGCTGCATGCCGCGTACGGTGCTGACCTCGGTGGCGAGAGGAAGGCACATTTTCGTGCCCGTCCTTCCCCCCCCTGCTCTACTCTGAACTTAACAGTCGGCTGATTGAAACATGCTTGATACACGTGTTGAAAACGCCGATGTAGCGATGGCATGAAGGTTTCGCGGGCGTGGGAATGGGGCAAGTCCGGGATGGGGCCTACGAGATCGTGGGTCAAAAGTCAGAGGAGACGATGGTATGAAGGTTTCGGTAGGGCACGGGGCACATATCTGCAAAAACGCGGATGGAATGATGGCATGAAGGTTTCGTGGAGGGTTGGGGCAAATCAAAGATGAGGCTGTGGCATGTAGGTTTCGCTGTCTTGCTGTTTTGCTGGGCTGAAATGCAAAGCAGGTGCTGAAGCTGCGGCAAGTGTCCCTTCGTTTTTTTTTTGAGACACCTCTGCGAAACAAGGGTGGATGGAACGATGGCATGGAGGTTTCGCGGGCGGAGGGGTAGGGCAAGTCAGAGAGTAGGCGATGGCATGAAGGTTTCTCCGGGAAAAACAAGTGATGGAGCTGTAGCATGAAGGTTTACCGGCTTGCGTAGGGGGCCCAAGGAAGGCAGGCTGAAAAAGCATGTGTAGGAGCTGTGGCATGAAGGTTTCTCGGCTTGGTTTGCATCGCTTTTTTTTTTAGGGGGCAAGGAAGGAACAGGCAGGCAACGTAGGGGTGATCAAGGAAAGGAAAGGCAGTGCGGGTTGGCTCAAGGAAAGTAGACAGTACCAAGGTCCGATAAGGTGGTGAAAACTGAAGGAAACATTGTATTACGACAGCCATGTGAGGAAGGCTCCCGTATCCGCTCTGTCCGACAGGAAGGCCTGACTGAAGTTCAGTCGGCAATACACTTTACGTGTGTGTCCCAAGGTGCAAGCAAGCTTGGCGAAGTGATCTGCCACTTCGTTCAGCATGATCCCTTGGTGTGCTCGAACATGTTGTATCTCTACGGTGAGACAAAGCTCCTTCCAGAGATGGATGAGCATGTTCGTGACGGATGCATGATGCGTGCCAAGGAAAGACCCTTCAAGAACCTGAAGCACGTATTGAGAGTCCGTACACAACTGTACTGGTACATGTGGGCAGTGCTCTCGAATGCGCTTGGTCATTTGGAGGGCCTGGACCGCTGCATGCAATTCAGCCTGTATATTGGTGCAGGGTGAGGGCACCTTGAAGTAGCAAACAGTCGCTTCTTCCACCATAGCAAACGGGGCAAGTATTACTACCGAGCTACCCCCATCCTGAACCTGGCCCCGGCGTCCTTGTTGTGCACTGCCGTCCGTGTAGACTCGCAGGAGGTGTTCCTGCTGTCCTTCAACTTGATCGAGACCGTCCTCGGGGTTGCTAATCCTCAGGAAGGATGTGCTGTACGGTGTCTCTACTGGGATGTGTCGGGTGGGGAGAAGCGAGAACTTGTCTTCGTTCTGGACGAGCTGACATCCTAGCAGGTCTACATGCTCGGGGGGGCCATTGTAGAACACGAAAGGATTAGACGGTTGTGCGTCTGCCCAATCACGTGCAAAGAGCTTCCACTTGTCACGGTCCTCGGCTCCCTGGAGCCAGGAGGTGGGCGGTGATTGCCCTTGTCTCGACAAAAACTTCTCCCAGGCTAGCTGCAAAAATCGCGAGGTATCTGCCCATTTGCCTGGAAGACGCTTGTGCAGGTTGCCGTTTGCGAAAACCCATGTTGGTCCACGCACCTGCAGCATCAATGCCACTGGTATGCATGCCTCCGCTCCGTAGCGAGCCGCATGGCCCCAGTAGGCGAAAAATTGGCGGCTATGCTCGCCTGGCCACGCTCTGTGGCCCACTTGTTGGGCTGCCAATCTCGCCGCTCTGCGTCGAGCCACCCACGATTCCACCGCCCCCTGAAACGGGTCGCGGGCAAACCGCAGCATCGCCGTAAGGAAGGATGTTTGAATTGTTCGCAAGAACTTATGTACGGTGCTGATGGGGCGCACCGCCGGACTAAGCCATCTCCATCTAGCGGTGATGAAGCAATCAAAGACTCGGAGCCTTCTGGTCAGGCCCACTCCTGTGCGGCGTAGGATGTTGTAGTACGCCCAAAAGGCGTTGGAGACCTTAGTCATTCTGGCCTGCAAGATCATGAGACAGGTGAGCTGGAACCCCATGAGTATGCCCAAAAACAGAAAGCTCGATTCGTAGTTTACTTCGCCCGATGACAGGTGGAGGGGGTCCCTGGGAAGGCCTGGCGTCTGAATAAACTTGCACTTCTTCGGGTTGAAGCGGAGTCCTATGGCCTGCAGCGTGGATTCGCTATCTTGAAGGAGCCTTTGTGCCTGTTCCCTAGAGGTAGCCAACAGTACCAAATCGTCTGCGAAGGGTGTGAGAAACAGCTTGCGACCTTGTGGGTCCTGGAGCCAAGATACTTCGTCCTCCTGCCACTTGGCATTGGTAGGTGTCAAAAAGAAGTCTATGCATCTCGCGAACAGTTCCGCACTGTAGCTACTGCCTTGCTTGATGCCTTGCTTCAGTTTTTGTTTCCATGTCGTGCCATGGAGCCCGAGTTCGACTTCACTGTTGAGAACAATCTCCAGAAGGACCTCTGCCTCCCTGGAGCCTTGTGCCGTGGCTAACAAAGCAGCAATGGCTTCGTGCGACAGCGAATCGAACGCGGCCGCCACATCGAGCTTCACAATCACGAGTGGTTTGCCGTATTCTTCCGAAAGGCGTATCGCGTGTTGGACTGCACACGCGGCGTCCAATGTTTGCCGCTTGGGCAGCCCCCCTACTTGAAAGGCTCCCATCGTGGGCAGCTTGGGAGGCAGTCGCAACATCAGCGCCTTGGTGAAGACCTTAGCAGTCGTGCTAGAGAGCACGATGGGCCTCAGGTCTCCTGGGGCCGAGGGGGATGTGGTCTTCGGGAGAAAACAAACTTGGCTACTTAGCCAGCTTTGGGGTACCTCCCGTATGCCATGCAGGACATCGTTGAACATGTCAACGATGTGGTGATTGAGTTCAGACTGCAGCAAGAGTTGCAAGGCTTCGTACGAAATCCCGTCTGCCCCTGTGCTTTTGTTGTGCTTGCACTGGAAGGCTACGTCCTGCAGCTCTTGCAGGGTGAAGGGTTGCGGATTCATGATGGGCCCCGCGCGGTGATGGAAGATCGCCATAGGTAGATGGCAGCAGAGTCAACGTATCGACAGCTGGTCACTCGCTTAGAAGCTGTGCTGCAGATCTGTTCGAGGTCTTGCATGCTGAGGTCCTGCGCTTGGAGCTCTAGGCGCTCGGCCAGCTTAGTCTGCAACTTTGGCCCGTCTGTCCACCATTTGCCGCACTTGGACGGTCGGAAGGACGAGCGGCCGCCAGCAAGGGTTGATCGAAGATCAACGCTGACCGCACAATGGTCGGACCCTATGACATCGTCCGACCCTTCCTCTACTCTGTCATCCCCGTGTTCCAAAGAAGGCATGGCAAAAAGGATGAAGTCGATCCTGGATGAGGACCCCGTGGTGTTCTTCCAGGTGGACATCGATGGTCTGGTGTGCTGAAGGTTCAAACTGCCCAACAGTTGTCCTAGAGGAATCCCTCTTTCGTCCACATTAACAATGTCCAAGACGTCGTAGTTGAGATCACAACACAAGCAAATGGTGTCGTGATACCGTCGACGGTCACAAAACTGGAGGAGCTCCTCTGTTTGCTGTTGCCATGTAGGCAGGTGATCTTCTCTTAACGAGTGGGGCATGTGGATAGACGCCTGAAATTTCCTGGTGCCTTGGTCTCTAAGGACGACTCCAACCCCTGTACAAAAGGCCTTGGTCTTCTCGACCTGACCTAGCCAATTAGTGGGAAAGCCCAAAGCGGACCCTCTCCAAGCATGCGAAGGATCACAAAAGAAGAACGTGTAGGATCTGCCTGCTAGCATGATCTCATGGTGCAGAACGGTGTCGTGGGTAGCGCACTGTTGTGGTAGTGTGCCTACTTCTTGCAAGCCAATTATGTGGGTGCCCTGAAAACCAAGAACGTCCCAAGTGCGGGCAAGGTCATCTAGTCCTTTGCCCCTCAAATTCCATGAAATAGCATGCATATGGGCCCGACCTGCGGTCCTGGTCATCGGACGGTTCGTTGTTTGTCAAGCTTTGTCCCCCCCGTACATGGGGTTGGCGGCTGGACCGAAATCCTGCCACATCTGCTGGAGAGACTCCTTGTCACGTCCTGTAATTTTCGCGAAAGATTCGGCACTGAGGAACCAGACTGTATGGTTGCCTTTCACGTCTTCTATAATCTGGTCGTATGCTGCTGGTTCATGTCCGTCGTCCATGTTCTTGAGGGTTCTGGTTTGCCCTACGAAAAGTTGCCCCCTCCATACGATCTCTGGGTCGGGCCAGTGAGTGTCTGTGCTGTTAAGGAGAGGAATGGCATTGTAGAAGTTCTTAGCTAGGACGATTGCGCGGATCCTAAGCCTCTCCTCTACCGACCTGTCTCTCTGAATCCACAACAGGCTGTTTTCCTGTCCCACTATGCCGCTTTTGGCCTTGAGTGCCTTCAGCTTGTTGATGACCTGCGTCTGGTACAGGCGCTTCTTGCCCAATTCTGTAATCCCTGCCCCCTCGTAATCCAAAGACACCCTCAAAAAATTCGTGCGGCCCGAAGGTCCCGAAAAGTCCAGGACGGCCCCTGCAAAGCCCGCCTGCGTGAACATATTCTGGACTTCTGTCTCGGCTTCAGCGACCCTCGCATCCGTCCATCCTCCGATCACTAGTCCTAAGTCCTGGGCTGGGTCTCGGAAGGCGTCCGAAGGAGGCCCTCCTCGGGGGCTGCGTGGGCTCACGTTGCCTGTTCTGGACCCTCTAGGAGTGTCGGGTGCTCTGCTGGGGGTGATCGAGCGGGATCGGCGCTCCAGGTCTCCGACTGCCTTCTCCAAGGCGCTCAGCCTGACAAGGGTGGCATCTTGTTGCTCTGTGTGATCCTTGGCGACCGTTTCGAGCTGTTGGATTCTAACATCGTGCTGTCCTACTACAGCGCCTAGGTCTAGGCAGTACTTGTGAGTCTGGTCGGTCTTCATGTGAAGTCCTTGTAGGCTGTCCATGAGCCCTTGTAGCCATTGAGGTTGGGGTGCAGTGGCAGCAGAGTTGTGGGTAAGGGCAGCGAAGGGTCGACTATCAGCACCTCCCTCAGAGCCTGATCCAGAACCCTGTTTAGTTTCGGGGGGTTTGCTAGTGTTCAGCTCATCATCGTCATCCACAGGGTCCCCCGACGTGAGGTCGTACACCTCATGTGGTTTGAAAACGGAACTATGATCGATCCTGAGGAAAGGATTGGGTTCGTTAGACACCGGAGCTGCTAGGTCGGCCATATCCGAATCAGGTTGTGTATCGGCTTGTTCCTTGGCTTCCAGCTTGATTTTCTTCAGGTCAAGAGATTTCCTGGTTCCATGGTCGGAGCTAGGGGTCCTCGTTGCCTCATGCCCACGCTCATCCCGCTCTCTGCGTGTCTCTAAGACATGATGATGGCTAGCGGTGGAAGCCCCGACCCTCGGTAGCTGTGTGCTTTCCCCTGGTGGTACCCGCTCGTGCCCTCGGCTTCTGTCTCTCGTCCTCCCTCTCTCCGTGGTCCTGTTGGGGTCACGTCCCTCAGTGCGTGGCATGGTGGTGGCAACAAGTGCTTAGGCAGTGACCGGTAGCACTCGAGCAGTAGCACAGCCAGCAAAAAGTGGCAGAAGGGAAAGGGCAGCCAGTGCAAGGAAAGGGCAGGCAGTGCAAAAAATTCAAAACAGGACAAGGAAGGACAGACAGTTCCGGAGAAAGGACGAGACAGAGAGGGGTGGAGGAAGAGAGAGAGCGGCCGAGACGAGCGCAAGGTCTCCAGAAGTTAATGTCGCAGGTTCCTGTGGTGCGCGCCGACGTGGTTTCGAGCCCAAACTTGAGCCGCAGCCAGACTACTACTACTACTACTACTACTGCTACTACTAGTACCACTACTCCTACTACTGCTGCTACTCAGCCTCCTACTCCTGCTCCTGCTCCTACTGCGCTACTGCTGCTACGACTGCTACGAATACTACCACCACTACGAATACTACGACGACTACCACTACCACTACACCCTGACTACACTGCACCTGCTACTGCTACTACTAACACGGCTACCACGACCACCACCACCACTAGCAGCACGACTACGACTACGACTCAACTACCCACTCCTGCAACAACAGCTGCAGCTAGCCCTGCCACTACCACTACCACTGCCACTGCGACTGCTGCTGCTACTGCTACGATGACGACGACGACGACGACGACGACTACTACTACTACTCCTACTGCGACGACTCCAAACAACTGCTACTACTACTACTACTACCACTACGACGACGACTACTACTGCTACCACCACTACCACTACCACTACCACTACCACTACCACTGCCACTGCCACTGCCACTGCCACTGCCACTGCCACTGCCACTGCCACTGCCACTGCCACTACGACCACTACCACTACCACTACCACTACCACTACCACTACCACTACCGCTACCGCTACCGCTACCGCTACCACTACCACTACCACTACCACTACCACTACCACTACCACTACCACACTACTAGTACTAGTACTAGTACTAGTACTAGTACTAGTACTAGTCCTAGTCCTAGTCCTAGTCCTAGTCCTACTCCCACTCCCACTCCCACTCCCACTCCCACTCCCACTCCCACTCCAACTCCCACTCCCACTCCCACTCCTCCTCCTCCTCCTACTCCTACTCCTACTCCTACTCCTGCTCCTGCTCCTCCTCCTCCTACTCCTACTCCTACTCCTACTCCTACTCCTACTCCTACTCCTACTAGTACTAGTACTAGTACTAGTACCAGTACTACTACTACTACTACTACTACTACTACTACTACTACTACTACTACTACTACTACTACTACTACTACTACTTCTTAATTCCTACTACTCCTGCTGCTGCTGCTGCTGCTGCTGCGGCTGTGGCAGGCTAGGGCCATGACACCCTCCACCTCTTTGCCTCGGCGCAGGCAAAGTTATTAAGGCGAGCGAAATCTGAGAGAACGAAACTTCCACAGCACTCTGCCTGAGGGTCTGAACTGGCAGTGTACACTGGGACCTGCATCTCACGGACGGCGTCAAGAGCCTGGTCCCAAAGCAAATGAAAAAATGGTGAACAACCGTTCGTATCAGCACCAACCCCAGAAACCACCGTTCAATTTTGCATGCTTGCTCACCGTAGCTTCAGGAGTGCCGTGCTTTTGCAAATTCTTGAATCAAAGCGCCATTAACAAGCCCCTGCGGCGGCACTCGGAATCAGCCAATGCCCGGGTCAAGTTGAGCAGGGTCTGCATGTACTTGCGTGCGTCCGGGGTGCTTGCTTCGACAGCAGATGTAGCCGATGCCAGCGATTCTGCCAACTTCGTTGTCGTCTCGTTCTGAGTTTCCCTAGCCAGCTTGTCAGCATGTGCCCGCTGCTTACAGAGGAAGGCCTCGAACTCGGCCTTCCAGCTGGGCATGCCTGTGCCTGAAGCATCAAGCCTCCGGTGGTCGTTCCACCGATGCATCTCGGCGAGGCGATTCATGGTCTCAAGCCTTGCTAGCTTGGCTTCGTCTTCTGCTGCTGCACGACGCTTCTCTGCGAGAGCTATTCGCTCCATCAACACGGCACGTCGGGCGCTGTGATCCAAATTTCGACTCATCGGAGGCTGGGAAACTACTCGGACAGGTTGATGTCCAGCTTGCGCGGCTAAGGACTGTCGTTGATCCAAAGCCGAGTCAAGCAAAGCAGCACCCTTTGTTCCCTGAAGGACAATCTCCTTCAAACGCTCCGCCAGCTCCTCCAAGTTCTGAAGGCAGTGGTCAGTGGACATTGATACGTCGGCAGCCTCCATCACGAGTGAATCGGCGTCAGCAGCTAGTTGAAGTGCTTGCCGATGGAGAGCCTGTAGTGTATTCAGGGCCATGGCTCGAACACCGCACCGCCGGCAATCCAATACCTTGAGCCAACCTGTCAGCCCAATTGCCCCAAGGTGCAAGTAGTTGCCTGCCCAGATGGGCGCTGCTGAAATGCAGGGGCCACATGCCTCCTGCACGAATTGCTTATCGACCATGACACCTGCCAGGCATCCCCTGCAATTGTGCCTGGTGAGCCCACCGTGGCAGCCAGCCAGAAGTTTCAGTCACTCGTTTTGCTCCCAACACAACATTAGCATGGGGGAAGCAGTTCAGCTTCTGAGAAATCACATCTTCCTGCTCTGGTGCTGCTGCGATGATGACATGCCGGCGAGTCCACTTATCAGCTTTCCCTTGGGAAGCCTCAGAAACTGTAAACGGGAAGGCAATTGCAAAAGGGCTGGTCGCCCCTCACAGGTTCACAGTCAAGGAGCTCAACACCGATGCTGTCGAACTTTTGCTGTAGGCCTTTCGCCTTGATGCACACTCCACGAACTTTCTAAAGCAAGCTCCGGAGGAGGCAATTGAAATAAATGAAGTGAACACGCTTTCACTCTGCTTCCATTGCTTCTCTTCATTTAATCAAACAAACAACGAACTCAATCTCCAGGTCAATGAAGGATTAGTTGTAGATGCACAAGAGGATACAGGTAATAAGATTCTATAACTAAAAGACTACATAATGATATCCTAGATCTTGGGTGCTGGGCTTTAATGAAGAGAACTAAGCGCGCATTACACTTCTTTTCATGTTTTTCACTTCGTTTAAACTCACCACGTATTATCTACAACTCAGATCTATTCCTCAGATATAATTAGCCAGAGCCAAATCAAAAACTTCGGCCGCCCCCGCTACCCCACCACCAAAAATTCTGCAAGCAAAATGTGCTTGAACCCCAAGAAACCTCAAAAGGCACCAGATCCCCGCTCCTTCACACCCTGTTCGCACCGCCCGGCCGTCCGCTCTGCCCGGCTCCCCGGGCAGTCTGAACATCTGCTAACTGGACCCTCTGGGGGCTAGGTAAGCTTCACATATGTGGGCCGAGGCGGATGCTTCGAGTCCTCTACAATCACAGCCGAGTCATGTACAGAAATCACTTGCGGTTCATGACGAGCAGACCCTCGCTCCATGCCGGCCCCATGCCACACCCTTTCTCGGCCCCAAGTCCCAACACGCGTCTTCTACCATCTATGACGCGTGCACATGCAGGCGTGTTTTGCCGAGAGCGATGTTTAGAATAAGCAATGGCATATTTCGTTCCGCTCATGAGCCGGTCCAAGCCATAGGCCCGAAGATTGAAAGCCGAAGCCGTCGCAAGTTGAGCGGTTCCATGCGGAGCTTCTCAGCTTGGACATGATACTTGTCCCTGGTTTTACGTTCTGCCCTTCGACCTATACAGTTCTTGAAGTGCTCCGGTAAGGCTGAACGCGAGGCTGCTTAGTCTTCTATCCTGCAGGTGTCTCGTTTTGCGAGACCTCTCTCAGCACCGCCGATAGCGAGCACGACATTCGAGCCTGACAACTGGAAGTGTCATCCCTTAGGACAAGCCATCCGGAACTCATGATGTTTTTGCCTGTTCATGTTCCGCATAACGCTTTATTACAAACTGTTCCATGCTGCACACTGTACTGTGCAGCTGAGGCTTCCAGCCAAGTTGAGCAGGTCTTCCTTGACCTTCGTCACAACGGATGCAGCCGAAGGCAAACAACCAGTGCATCTTTGGACAGGCTTGTGCACCTTCGGAGGCTGCAGTAGCGATGTCGCTGCCAGCTCTCCTAACCTGCGCCAACGGCGCGACAATGAAAACGAAGGATGAATTGCCCATGACTTGGCGTCTGGCTTGACATTGCGCTGAGCTCTGAAGTCCACCCACAGCTCATACTCCGGTGGCGCCTGCAGGTGCGGCACACGGCCCAAGGCTAGTAGCATCATCCCATGCAGAACACAGCTGAGCTCGGAGTTTCGCTGGCACCTCCGACCCTTGAGCCCACACGGATCTAACCTGGCAGAAGCAACACGGCTGCATGTAGTATATTCGACACGAACCAACCGTCCAAAAAGGTAAAACGAACTCGCTTCTTTTCTTGGCGCTTTGACACTCCACCGTGTCGGTCTCAAGCTGCTTTCGCTTTCGGGAAGCCGGCAGCTGGTATGTTGCCCGCCATACGACGAAACGACCATCCTCTGTTGCATAGGTGGTAATCTCGCATTGCCTCAAGTGGATCCCTCTGGCCATATCGAACAGGCGCCCTGTGGGAATGTGCTCCTGTGTTACAAGCCACATTTCGCCATCTGTAACCAACCAATGAGGTGCTTGTTCCAGCAGCTCAATCAAAACTCGCAAGTCGTCAGCATGACCCTGATGAACTGGCGGATTGGACACTATCAGATGACAGGGCTGTAGGGGTTTGTCTGCAGTCTGCACACCCTTAAAACCATCAGCCAACACTGCATGGGCATTTGGTAAATTCTTGCTGGCAGCCTGCAGTGCTACTGAATCAGCATCTATCAGCCACACCTCATTCTTTCCAGGAAGCAGTGAGGATAGCCCTGCTGCCAGTACACCGGTGCCACTGGCGAAGTCAAGTACTTTGCATTGCCGCGAGCTGGACCATCCTGGCCGCTCGGAGGACTCGTTCCAAACCTTCTCCATAGTGTCCAACAGAAACTTCGACATCACATCTACAAAGCCACCGGCAAAGAGACCTGGCATGGACCACCACTTGCGAGCAGTTGCAGAAAGGAGGGTCACTGTGTCTTCTTTGAACCAAGACTCCAGACAAGTACGTGCCTGCCCATTGGTTCTCTGCAGAAACACGACCCTGGCATCTCCATCCTCTTGTATGTCTAACAGTTTGAATAAGCCTTTGATCGCCTTGGTTGTGCTGAGAACCCCTTCTTGCACATCTCCGTAAACCCAAGCTGGAGCCCCCAGAGGCAAAGATGCAGCAACAGCATGTAAGGCATACTCGAAGGCTTCGTAAGAGTCGGGATACTTCATTGCCGCCGCATCGAAGACACCAGCAGGAGGCCACGCTTGCGCTTTTTTCATGCCCAAGGCATAGCGGTACCACTGTGTCACTTGAAAGCCGCTTCTCTGCAGAGAGCGACGCACGTGGCGCCCAGGGCCAAAAACAAGGGCAGTTTTTGCACTTGCACACTTGAGCCTCCCCCAAGGCTCGCAAGCTGCAGCAGCAACCAAAGGGGCATCGTGAAAAGTACGGCTTGCTTCTCGAATCTGTTCGACTTGCTCTTCGCATCGATGTGTTAAGAGTTGTAGTAACTCGGGAGCAGCTGCAAGCGGCTTGCAGTTGGGCGCCTTCTGCAACGCAGCCCTGATGGCAAACTCCAAGTGTGCTATGGACCACCAATTCAAGTCAGACAGCACTTCGTCGTCTGATGCTCGAGAAACCAATCTCCCAAGGAGCGTTTTCCAGCCTCGCGGCTTCAAAGTTGCCAGGGCCCAGGCGCTGATTCCAACTTCTGAGGCACCCATTCGAGGATGAAGCAGCTCTAGGCTTTCCTGAAGACTCTCGGTCAGGCAAGTCATCTGGCTGCTTTTGTGGAAAGCGAGCTTCGCAAGGGCAGTCAGCAACCGCACGCTGCGGTGTGCACCAAGCTTTGGCACCAGCGCGATTGCCCGGGCCGCCAACGACTTCATGAACCTTTTGTTCGGCACCTCACAGGGGAGGGAGCTGTGCTGACTGTCGCTGGCTTGCATAAGACTCACGGAAGAAAATGTCTGCAAACGAGACGAAGTGCCCATCGAAGCGTGCCGAAGGACCAGAGGAAGGAGACGACAATCTCAGCACCTGCGATGTGGCCTACATGGAGCATCACCGAGGACGGCGTTTCTGATGCGGCGTGTCTGATGCCTTCTCAGTATTTCCCTAGACTCAGATACAACTGTTTGCCTGATGCCTGTCTTACAGCTCTCGATCGATCTGCCTGCTTGTACCGGCAGCTTCCCGATCGCAAAGCCTACATCGGCTCTGGTTTGGCTGCATGCAAAGAAGAGATGATGCTGACAATTGTGGCGATGATATCAGCTCTGTTGCGAAGGTGACCCGAAGCTGCACAAACTTCGGGGACTAAATGAGCATGCGTGCGCAAGCTTGTGGTATGGTATAGTTCCCTACTCGTCAGTGCGATATTGGACAGCTTCTGAAGCTGATGTTGCCATTGGGCGGTGAACGGCTTTTGCCTGCAGATTTGCGAACATATCAGCCTCCGGCACGGAGCTGCTGCAGGACCTCTACTGAAACCTTGTACATGGCAAAGCTACTGACAGGCCTCGGTGCTCACGCTCGTCAACACATGCTGTGCTTCTGTTGTTGTGGTGGTTACGAATCCTGGCACCGCATAACACTCTCTTCTTTCGATCGGGGGTATGCGACAAAATTTCGACGGTGCCACGCTGTGCGCAGAGGGCACGAATCAACTGCAGCACTCAGCCAACGAGGCATTTGAGGCCACTGAACTTCACAAGTCTGGCACTGATGGAAGCTTTGGATATCTTTTCAGCACTCCGTTTCTTGCGGAAATCACATCTGGCACAATTGATTTGCGAAAGGGGATTTGCCTAGGGCCCAGTATGACTCGACCCATTGCAAGAAGACTGGGAGACGTCTGTGACCCGGCAAGGGCACGCGCCTTCTCCTTCAACAAGAGAAGCCGCACGGTTGCACAGCAGCTGCAACAATGTCTCGCGGCAAAGCTTGAATTTGGCGTGACTCCAGACCTCCAGCGCCATGCAGGTCCATGGGCTGCTTACTGCCACAACCAGTGAAGACTGAAACGGGCGTGCAAGATTGCGCAAGAGTTCTCTATCAAAAGTTCGAGACGACTGAGCCCTGGACAAGTTGTGCAGCGTCGCGAACATTGAACTCCATGACCCTTGCCTGAGCCTGTTCCCCAATTTCATCCAATAGGGCCTCTACAAACACCCCCATACGGGCAAAGGCAGCCGCCAGGGTGGACAGCCCCTGCGGTGTAAAGCGTTCTAGATTGCCTCGCACGGCATCGCTTGCCAAAGACATTAGCTTGTTGTCTCGCACCCCGAGCTTGCTCAAAGCCCACAGAACGTTGCAAAGCTCCTGAGGCAGGAAATCCCAGACAAGGTCGTGAGCAAGAAGAGCCAGCTTTCTTGCAAGGCTTGCTCGCTTCTCCACCTTTGGCATTTTCGACAAAGCCCATGTCAGGTTTGCCACACCTTGACGATCCAAACCCGGCAGCCTGTTGAACGAGGCTTCTACAACACTTTTCGCAACATCGACATCTCTCACGCCCAACCCAGCTACAGAATATGCAATAGTAGAAACCGCTTTCGAATCGCATTCCGTGGTTGTTTGCCGAAGAACTTCCAGAGTTCTCAACAGCAACACTTGAAGTGATGTACTCTGCGCCAGTGGGCCTCTTGCCAAGTTGTTGGATGGATGCAAACGGGAAAGTCGATGGAGTGCAGTTGCGACGTTGATTGCATTGAACTTCTGCGCGTGAGTCGAGATAACCTCTTGCAGCGTTTCCGAGCCAATGTTCGCCGCAAGCGTGATCTCACGGTTCAGTTTCGCCATAGCAGCAGCAAGTTTTCGACTTTCTACTCATGCGGGCAACTCAAATAATTATGGGGAGATGTGAAGATTCAGCTACTGAGCTTAACGGCTTAACTTGCTGTACTCGCAATGGCCTATACTGGTAATGCATATCTGCTCCAAGCAGTACTCACTACGAAAGCAAAGGCTGCGGTCCGCTCCAAATACATGCATGACAGCCTGCTGGCAGAGTCATGCTCAGCGTGGCGGTCCGTTTGAGGCAAAGCGTCCGCGCAGTGCTTGTCAGTCTCGCTTCCACAGCAAGCACAAACAGCTGTGAGACCCAGAATTGCCTTTCGTGGGCTGCGCCACCAAGACGCCCCGGCAAAATCAGGACCATCTGCGGAGCGACATGCGAAATTCGCGACAGCTGATACACATTGTTTCCGGCTTTGCATGCCTCTGGAAGACAAAAAGCACGTCGGCCTGCACCAGGCTTAGGCTTAGACCACAGGGTGATTGTCAAGATTTCAATGCAATGCTGAGACTTGTGCAATAACAGTAGGGTCCAGCGAGACCAGCATCCAATGCGGGTCAAGCTTCTGACCTGCACGCTACAATGCAGAACGGGCAACTCCCTCGGACAGGAAATCGCTAGGGCCCTACAGCTCGACCAGCACTTCTTAAGGATGTCTGAACTGAATCCAACAAATTGCGGCACATGTCCGATAGGCTTTGAACCGTCGGCTGATGGCAATGAGCCGGTCCTACTGGCCTGAAGCTTCGTGGGCACAACGTCTTGCACAAATGATGTGCAAGTGCATCACAGCTCTAAAACAGGGGGTTCTTTTGGGGTGAAAGGCGGTGGGCATGTTTTCCAACTCATGTCTTTTAGTCTCTTGTGAAACTCCCGGGCTCGTGCTGCGATCGCAAAACTTCAGACCGAAGCAATGGGCAAAATATGCGAAATTGAGTTCATGGGCTTGATAAAATTTCTGTCGGATGGGTGCAAGTGCAGCATGCACGCGAAGGTACATGCTTTTTTGAGCTGTCTTGGGGCGTTGCCCAAAAAAATGTCCGAAGGAGTCCCTGCACCTTTGATTGGGAATTGGGCCACCATCCTCTTCACCCGGACGGTGTAAGCATGCAGAAACCAGGAGGGAAACTAAGCACACGTTCGACAAGCACGTGTCGCCCTGAAGTCAACAAAGCTGGACAGAGTTCAGCTCCGAATGTCGGTCTCCGATCTGCATCATAGGCTGGGACAACATGAGCAATGGACTGCGCAACATGCGCCCAGTGTGCACGATCTAGGTGGCGAGCCGGCGCCGTCACAGATCGAACCATCGGCACGTTGCAAGAGCGATATGCAGCCACAGGCTTCTTGAAGTATTTAGTATGCCAGTCTTTACAGATGTCCAGTAATTTTCCTGATCGGACGTTGTGTGAGTGTGTGTTTGATCTGACATCTGAAACGGATTACAAGACCATGACCAACGTCAAGGCAGCACAGTCATTGGGAACATGCGGCAGACAGTGGCAGCATCGGAGCATTTTTACAAGACCTGCCAAGGAACCGAACCATGGTGTCGAGGGGTTGGACTCGATGGAGCCTGCGAGACTGGCACCTGTCCCTGCCCGCTGTATGGGACAGATCGGTGATTGTCGGCTGCCGAAATTGCCAAGTGTGCACCATGGGATAGACCATGCTGCAGAATGCCTCGTCAACACAGTAGCGTCAGGGTATGTCAGGGTCGGGCCTTGCTAGCTTCTGCTTCACTACACGCTAAGCTTCTCGCGAATCTTCGGCGGCTAGGGATCAGAAAGATCGTTACTCCCTGCAACCCTGGAACCTCAAAAAACAGCAAGAAACACACAAAACAGTTTCATGTCCTCACATTGCCACCCTTAGCAAAGGCAAACAAACACGTTTTAGTCCGTGCTGCCGGGTCTGCGAGGAAGTCCAGTCTGTTCATGCAGTATAAGAAGCCGGGGAAGTAAATGCAGATAGTCGTATAGTCTATATGTACGAGTCGAGCGTGGCAACATCGCAGGCGTGAACGTTCGACATGATTAGTTGCTGTAGTGGTTGCCATGGAAATGTTTGTCAAAAAAAGTCAGCCGAAAGCATCACTCACTCCCAGGAACAAGCATCCGGAATACCAAAAACAAGGCTCATCGATGCATCGAAAATTGATGAGAATTGGAGCTGGCGATTTCGTCCAGTATCACTTTGCAGAGACCGGAGCGCTCGAGTTACGAATAGTGGAGTACTGGAACATTGGGACAGATGACGCCTGCCGATGTGCCAGAACACCGAGGCAAACACCGGATGCCCCGGATTCTGAAACAGCGAATGTAGAATCAATGTAGAGGCAGATCGAGCGACACTGATGCAACCGCAAGACGACAAAAACAGGAGGGAACGTTCGAACCCTCGGTTTGGATGGCAATGGCCGGGATGAATCTCTTGCGAGTCTTGATGCCTGGGCACTGGACACGTTGGAGTGGGACCAACAGTATTATAAACTCAAATTGTGCAGTCAAGTCGCCGTCATCCCGCAAAGTTGCTCGACCATCGGGCGAACCAAACCTGGCAGGTGTGAGGCGGTCGCACGTTGTGAGCAGGGTTTCGAAACGCTACCGCTACTGGATGAAAAAACCGCGCAACATGGACAGGCCACCCTCAAAGCTGAACAGGACACAATCAAAACCCAATCAATCGCATATGCTATATACAGTGCACCATGGTGCCCTGACGACAGCGATGAGCACAACCACAACCATGAGGACGACCACAATGCCGTGCTGAGGTGCACGATTCACAATGACTTCAGAAAACTCCGACCAAAGCCAGAAAAACAAAATGTGCACGACCAACAATACAACCATTACCACAACAACCTGGCTGCTGAGCAAGCAAACTCCGCTTTCGGCAGGAGATGCTTTGTCTGGCACATTCTCGACCACTGTGGGCCAGCTCGAGTCCACCGATGATAACGACCTTCTTGTAGGATCTCTGGTCTGATCGGCTGACTGTGGGATTGGGCTTTGGGTTTACCGCCTTGCTCGGGGAGCTAATCACGCATCGGGGTTTGATGCAATGTGGAGATTGTTGCACTTGATGTTTGCTTTCGTGCCAGAGCAAGAAGACTTTTGGCTTGAAAGCGGCGAACGGCGAAAAGCATCCGATGTCACATGACGGATTCAACAAAGTCTCAGACTTGTCCTAGGCGAGGCGGTGTGGCTGCCCACCCCGCAGAAATGCGCACCGGAATCTGCAGGGCGGTGCGGGCGCCACAAGCTTCCGATATCTCGACCGCCAACAGCTGCATGTCACTTGCAGTTGTCGTTCGTACATGTCACTCCGTGCACGAAGGTGCAGGACATGTTCCTACGAGACTGTGCCCTTTGCGCAATGGATCACCGTTTTCCCCATTGCCACTCTGTCTCTGCAGGGTGCGTTCGAAAGGGCTGAAACAGCTGGACTGTGGAGCTGGGGATGCCATCCAACACCACGAACTCGTCAGCTCCACAGCCATCCACCCACTCAAGTGGAGCTCTGAAAAAGCCACCTCGAAGCCAGAGCAGCCTCAACGCCGGCACCAGTCGCAAACTCGGAATCCGCAGCAATGCGCTCAACAACCGCCCAGAACTCCGAGAGGTCATCTTGCAGCAGAGGCCATCCCTGGGACCGAACGAACCTCAAATCACCTCTGCTGACTTTGTCCGAGAGGTTAGCTTGGCTCGAAACCCATTCGAAATGACCATGCCAGCGAAGTCTTATGCACAAAGCATGGAACCAAGAGAGAAAACGGTTGATGCTTTCATCTTTGCCGTAGCCTTTCCGCAATGCTGCCAAACCTGCACGATTATCACAGAAAGAAACCCAGAATGGGCTAATCTGATCGTGGTTGGCCAAAAGACAGACGGCCTGCGAGAAAATCTCGAGGAAATATATGTATGACCTGCGAGAGCCGAATAATCGCAAAATGCGAGGCGGGACGCTGCCATGCCCTGCGGTAATGCGATCGGAAGCCCGGCAGATGAAACCCCAACCGTTCTCGGCCAGATGCATATTCGCTGGCCAACTCGTCGGAATGGAATCTGAAGCAACGGACCACTTCTTGTCACCAAGCTTAAAATACGCATCAGCATACAAAACTGAAACCCCACATCTCTCGCCTGCGAAAGGAATTAATCTCGGTACCGGGTTGGAGATCAGCGCAATCAGGCATTGCATGCATGCCCGCAGTCCTGAGTTGAGAGCATTCGTCCCGTTCTTGGGACCGTGAGCTCGTCCATGCAGTGGACGTGTCAGCGATTGGCCGACCTGACCCCACAAGGAGGTGGACAGGAAACCCAGCTTGCCTGCGAGTCTGGCTGCCTCGTCAGGAGAGAGGCTATCCTCGGATAGCGCTCGTCGTAAGGCGAAAACAAGTTTCCGAACTCGGGACTCGGAGGGAGCGACTGTCACGCCTTGGTCACCTATCTGCACGATAACCCCCTGTAGCTTCTGGATCCTGTCAGGAGGCTGTCGTTTGGAAGGTTTTAGCTGAAAACCGAGCAAACTGCAAAAAGCATCGAACGATGTAAAGCTCGACTGAGCAGATGATGCTGGGTCAACACTGCCCAGGTCATCCACATAGTGAATGGCTGGAATAACCAACAATGTCCTCGCCAACCACAGCAAAGCGTCTGTCACCTTGTTGAAATGGAAAACAGATGCAGTTGCCCCGAACGGCATGACCCGATGCCGCCAAAGGGTCGGGCCATCTGGGGTCATGACTATGACGTAGCAGTGACTAGGCGAACGAACAGGGTACTGTCTATATGCCGAATGCAAGTCCTGGGCCCATATCATGCCGAATTCGCCGCTGGCGTGAAGATGACGAACCATTGATACATACACCCCAATGTCGTCGTGAGGTGGTATGTCGAAAGCTTGCACAGTATCGTTGTGGAAGCTTCTCCGATAATCCTCGCAGCGCCTGACCTTGCGCTTGCCATCGGAACCTTCTTGCACGACTGAGAAAGCCCAAGCAATACAGGGCCTAAGGTCAGGACAATCTGACAAGACCTCAAAACCATCAACCCCAGCCACTGGCACGGTCTCCTGCTTCCAGCCTGGTGGGGCTCGAAAGGGGCCTTCCATGCGACCAGCTCGAACCTCAGTGATGACCTCAGAAAGCATTGTCTCCCACTCGTCATCGACGCGGTGCCGCGTCAATCTCTCCCGCACGTGATGCTCGTTCAGTGATTGGAATGCCTCGAAACTGATGGGAGCACTGTACTTGGAGTCCGTCCGAGGCAGCCAACCCGGAGTCGGGCGAATTCTGCCAATCATGGGCATACCTTGGGAGAGCTCTGCTTCCAAGGCCTCGACCTCGGGATAACCGCAACCTTGGAGCAGCGCGACAAAGGCTGGTATTTGAACGTACTCTTGATCAGACGACAACCTGTAAGCAGACTGCACGTGACTCGGCAAGCTCGCAAACCACTGGTCGGAAACATGTTTGTGCTCACGAACGAAGTTTCCCAGAGTCTGCAAAACGGACTCGCGCAGCGACTGAATACCGTCCCCGACCGTCCTCAAACGCTCGTAAACGAGCTGTAGGGCCTTGCCAACCTTGGGTTTGGCCAGCAGCGGGTGTGCAATTTCCGCCGTCATGAGCCAGTGCTCCCACTCGCTATCAGAAGGAGGCAGACAAATGAAACGAGAAGCCGGAACCTCCCGACTCAAAGTAAGAGGCTCGCGTCGAGCCCACTGGAAAAGCTCCTGAAGAGAATGATCGTTAGTCCTCGAGTTCGCTCCGGAACACGACGAGGCAGGAACTACCTGGGACAGTACCAACCAAAGGAGAAACTTGATCACGCCGATGTGCCAACTATTCCCAAGCATCTTGCGTCGATCGCGCGGAGTGATGTTCTGAAGCCTGGTGATGCCGGGTCGGTAGTGGTGAGCTTGCTCCTTGAGCTCTACAGGTAAGGTGGTCTGCTCGCCAGTGTTGGCCGTGACAAGGGCCGTCGCCTCGTAATGCCATGGTGCGTACTGGCGCCCAGCTTGAAGCCAGCGGCGTTTGACCTCGGGATCCAATGTTCCGCGCATGCCGCGAGGAGGATCTCTCCCAGCATCGGAGCTCGCTGGTGTCGTGAGACACGGCAGTAGCCGCCGTCCTGCCTTGACCTCGCTGTGAAACTCGAGTCCCTTCATCTGAAACTGGGAGACCTGGTCCTTGGGAGGGTCGATGAAAAGACGTGCATGCCCGTTCTGTCGAGACCACCGCATGGGTTGCCCCGTGATGGGATTTGTCTTGACCTTCGCGAAGTCCAGTCGGGTCCAGAAAAGGCGCGGTCTGCTGATGATGCCGAAATCGGAGGAGCACAGCAATGTCGGAGATGCCCCCAGCTGCTGGCTGAAGAAATCGACGTCCTCCCTTCGATTCATCACGACATTCTCCACGATGACGTGAAAACTATGTCGAAGAAGCAAGCCCTCCAGTGTCTGAAGAAACAAGCAAAAGACCTGAAAAAGTTTTCCCGTAGGTCCTGACCGACCCTGTCCATTGGCCACCTTGGAGAAATCAGGACAAGGGGGCCCGGCCAAAACAAGAATCGGAGAGGCGGCGCCCGCGTCCATGTCGAGGATCATGTTGGCCACGACGCGAGGGTCGTCTTGCGTGATGTCACCGCGCTCGAACCGCAGACCCTTGAAGATGGACTTGGAGACGCGGTTGGCGGGAATGTCCACCTCCCACGTGAAGAGTGCCCGAATCCGCACCCCGAGTTGCTGCAGTGCGAAAGCCGAAGAGCCCATGCCGTCGAACATAGAAAGGACTATCACATCGCGGACATTCTCCAGCGGTGGCAGCTGCAGACAGAAAGGCGGGCATCCAATCGCCTGGGCAGTGTGTGCCGCCGCGCCCGAATCCACCCCAGTCGTGTCCTCGGCTGAGGGCTCGATATTCGGTTCCGGGTCGTCCTGGCCATGAAATCGATCGGAGAAGTCGTCAACCTGAACAGGTGCCGCATGGCTCGAGTGGTCGGGTCTAACCCCCGCGGCACTGGGGGAAAGCCCGTGCTGTCCCTAGTGGCGGGAGTCAGCATGCCAGGAATCGGCATGCCATGGGCGATTCCACTCCTGGGCCTTCCCCTTGCCTTTCCATGTGTTTTTGCCACCTTTGCCCTTGAAACCTTTCCCCTTGCCCTTCTTGGCGGGGATCCAGGTCGCTGCGTCCACGGCCGAATCATCCGGCACTGGAAGCTTCCGCTTGTTGGGAGATGGAACGGTGGGTTCCTTCATGAGCGCTTCCTGGAAGGCGGTGACATCATTGAGGATCTCCTCGCTAGCCTCCTTCCAAGTCTTGTTAGCCCGCAACATCGCACACAAACGCCAGGAGGCCTTCTCGAAGTAAGCTTTGAACTGCTCAACCTGAACATTGCGAGTCCTCGAGCGCTTGATCATGGAATCAAAGTAGGCATGCACGGCTGTCTCGGAGCCAATCTCGCACAAGACGTAAAGCCAGCGTATGCTGTTCAGGCCGTCCATAACACTCATGTATCCGCGGGGAACCCACTCGTCCTCGGCAACGGCCTCCTCCTTGAGCACACCGTCCTCAACGGACAGTTTGCTGGACCTGGCCCTCTTCGCCAGGGGATTTACCTCTCCGTTGGACTGAAAGGAACGCCTTTGCAATACCTCGCCCAACCCCACGGGGCAATATAATTTACTGGTTCGGTGTTCGTAAAGTACCCGAGCCACCACGGATTCCGCTCCCAGCAACTCCTGCTCCGGGAAGGGGAGCCGAGCCTCCCCGTTGATCAGCACGGCGTTGTAACGATCAATCATCTTCCGCCATTCACCTGGTGGCAGATGCTTGGGAACCTTTGCTGGTTCGGTACTGCAAGCCGCCAGTGTCAAGGTCCCAGCGACGGGAGAAGCAGTAACTGCAGGCGCAGGCGCTGCTGATGATGCAGCGCGGGCCCTGGCCTCTCTAGCCAGTGTCCACATGAAACGTAAAATTGCCCTGGCGATTGGTTTCTCAGGCTCGGGGATGGTCAAAGCCGGCACTGCCGGGTCGGGCTGCCATCCCGATAGCAGCGGCGCCACTATGCAGGCGTCGAACTGATCCTGGCCCTGGGCAACCATAGAGAAAGCGCCTGTGGAGGTGAGACCCCTCTCGCGCAGATACCGCTTTAGCTCTTCGCCAGCCCCAGCTTGAGCGGCTATCTCGTCCATGGATGGCTCCGCAGAGCTAGAAGTCATGTTGCGAAGGCTGCAATTAACCCGAGAAACGAAGAACGAGAACGCGGGAGACAAGCAAGAAAGACAGATGTTTGCCGGTCCTGGAATCCCCTGACATGGAATGTCCGACAATGATGCACATGTGATAAGTCTCTACCGCTGGGCCCGTCAAAAACCTGCCGCGAACGAATGTTGTCAACAGTACTCAGGCATACAATGCTGTCAAGGGACGCATCTATGCTGACGCGTGTCGAAGGCGATCATGTTTTTCGTCGGCAGATGTCCCGCATCCTCGCGGAGAACTACGCCGTGGCATACCCCCTCGCTCGGGAGATGCGCTCAAAGGCTGTCACTCAGCCTCGAACCGGCCTAAACAAAACGGCCGACCACTGCCAAGCCAAAAGAAACCCGCCAAAGCGCTAGCGGAAGCTCACTACACGGACGAAGAAGCACGGTTGGCCGCCAAATTCGCCCTGGCTGCCTCGCACCGGTCCTTGGCGATGATGCTGATCTGCTGGGTGTGCAGCGTCTTGAGGTCGAAGTCCTACGAATCACACTTGCCAAAAGAGAAACAAAAACCCCAAGAAAAGGCAATCGGATCGCACAAGCGTTTTCGCCGGTCGAAATGGATGCATAGTATGGTCTCCTGCCGAGAAGCGAGAGCGCCTAGACAGATAAAGTTCCAAAGGCCCCGACCAAAACGGACCCCATCGGAGCCTATCTCGGCGCAAATCTACGAGTACTCACCAACATCAGAACTGCTTTCAGCATCGGCCGAAAGATTAGTGGAGCCCGAAGAGGACGAAGATGAGGAGCTGCTATCACTCGAGTTGGGGTCCCAACATCTCTGGCACTTCTTATTCTCAGTCACTTCCTCAGGAGGAACTCGCATGAAATTACGCAAACCGTATGGCCAACCGCACACGGTTTTCCACTTTCGTGGAGGATTCGACTTCTCGTTCACTCGAATCCGATGTACAAGAAGGGACCTGACTGACCGAACCAAGGTCTCTGGCGGCTCGCTCGCCGCCTTTTTCAAGAAGGACACTTCCTCCTGAAGAGTCGCCAGCTCCTGCGTGAGATCAATCGCCTGATTGTCGGGCTGGGAGGCTGCGCTGGAAGCTGCCAAACTGGCGGCCCCGTGCAACTCGGTCTGCACATTCACTGCGTCGCCAGCGATGCCCTGAAACACCTGATGTGTAGCCGAAGGCAACTGCAACAGCGGGGTCGACTGTACGTACTTGTAAATTGCTGCGCTGGACCATCGGCCCAGGAGCATAACCAAGTGCAGAGCGAGGTGTAAGGAGATCAGCCATTGCGCTCCGCTCACTCGGGCGCAGTGCCCGTGGAATCTCGGCACCTGTACCCCCGATTCGTCTGGTCGCGTCAAAGGGACGCCAGCTGCTTGCAACACTGATCGGAAACACGCCACGACGCGTGACTTCGGAAGATCCTTGCCCTGGGCGCACGGGAAAGCGAAAGCCGAAGCTCTGCCGATGCATCCTTCAAGTAACCGAAGCCGTTCCAGATGACGAATGCCAGCGTGAAATGGGCAAAACAAATGTCGCTGAACCCCGCAACAGCACCGCAGACTCCTCGTGGTGAGAGAACCCTGAGTATCGGTCTTGTAGACTGCGAGCAAAATGAAAAGCTGCGAACCCTCGACATAAAGATGAGACCGCCGGATGTTGCTGAGTTCCACCTCACGCAGCATGAACCACACCGCTATGAGAGTTGCATCAGTCATGGCATTCAAGTCCTCAGCGGACCAGGCTTCCACTATCTGGCTAGACTCCTGCAGGAGGGGTCGGAGCGACCAAACGTCAAAAGAGTCCTTCAGCTGCTCGGGGCCTAGGCCCCGAAGGATACTGCGCTTGCAGTCTCTGATAAGACCGGACAGCAGGTCACTGACAGGAATACGTAGCTCCCGCTCTTGATGCTTAACGACGGCGCTGAAATACTGAGCGCAGCTGCGATATGATCCGTCCTTCATACTTGCAGCACAACAACTAATGTTGTGGTGATCGAGTGGAAAGGGCGCGCAGCCCCATGCACGACACCACTCGTGCCATGTTCTGACTCGACTGCTCAATGGGCCCGAGGTCGATGCAGCGTGAAAGCCGTCTAAAAGCCTGCGCATGCTGGCTGCCCTTTGGTCCGGGTCTGCTGCCCGAATAGAAGCTTGGAAGCTCGCTCGCTTCCTTTTAGGAATAGCGGGGAGATCCGCCCTATGCCCCGGGTTTACGTCAGGCGCCGTGCCCGGCACAAAACTCGCGCCCAGCAAACGATCAAGCTGAGGACGCCTGAGGCCGGCTGAAAGCAGCTCGTCTGATCGTGTCTGAACTTGCTCAATGGACAAAATCCCGGCATCACACAACAGAGGGGCAACGTCCTGCAGCCCCACTGCCCTAAGGCGCTCCCAAAGAGCAGCTGCCATCTCGAGCCGCAGAACACATAGCGAACAAAGACATGACATGTATGGGATGGAAGCTCGCTGCTGAAGCGATCTAGAGATTAGAACGGACCCTGTCCTGATAGGCAACGCGGTGTTGCGTCTGCAGCCAGATGAGACCTGTCCGAGCAGCACCTGTTGGCAACGTCATCGTCGCCAAAATCTGAGAGCTGAAACGGATTTGCCGGAGCAAATCGCTCTCAGCCGAAATGGCATCCTGAAACGACATACATTGCTTGTCGACCTGCCCAGAGAGGATACACTCGCCGGAATCATGCTTTAGCGAAGTAAGGAGGTCCCTCAGAGCATAGAGATTCTCGCCGTCGTGCGGCCACAACACAGGGATCAGTTCCAAGAGACAATGACGAGTGCCCTCAAGCAGCTTATCGAAGACCTCGTGGTAATCAAAGCCGATCTCTGCCGAAGTCTCCTCAAGAACACGCACTGCGAACAATCGCTCAGCATCGGAACAGTGGGCCATGGCTCCAATCCTAAAAGAAATCTGAGAGGAGCTCGTGCCACCGTGTCTGCGGCACTCGCTCCGTCACATGTCACTTCTTACATTCTGTAAGTCACTACAAGGCATGACGTGCCGGCTCATTGTCGACGAAAATGACGATGTGTCGGCTCAAGCTGTCGATCATGGCTATGAGTAGCTATGAGAGACACGGCGTGTGCAACTACCTCAAGCATGCAAATGTATGCGCGGCGGCTGCTGAACTCACGGACGAGCCAAAACGGAACAGCACCACGGGCGTGGTGGGTCTCGGGGCTGATCGTGCATACGAAGCCCCACCCGTTCCAGGTGGTGGCGCGAAGACTTTCGGATCAGTGTTGTTGAGGATAGCAGACCGATGCCGTGGCGAAGTTGGGAGTTGAGTGCCCATCGTTGGTGTGGCTTCTCTCCTGTTGTCAGTTGAGCTCGTCGAAACAAGGGTTTCAGCGCCGTGGTCGACTAAGAAAGGATTGGCACAAAACTGAAATCGCCCTGCTTCGTGGGCGGCTGTGCTTTGAATGCCATGGTGTCGCTGCTTGCCACGATGTAGACTCCTTGGGCTCGAAGCTGGGACATGAGTTCGTTGAGCACATGCCCTTGTCCATTGATGTGTTTTAATGGTGCCTGATAGTCCTCTCCGGGGCCCTGGCTACGGTTATCGTCTCAAGCGTGATATCCTGTGTGTAAGCCATGCGCTGGCCGGCTTGAGCGATGTGACACACCACGAGTGGGCAGAGGCGATTCAACTCCTCGTGATAGTGGCTGTGCTGGTTGTCCTGTTGGGCATCGGTTGGTCTTGCAGATGTTGCTCGGGGTTTGGTCGGGTTGCCCGCTGCTGACGTGCCTGAGCGCTGAAACTTGCGCGATTCCCGAAATGTCCGCAGTAAGTCTAGCGTTGTTGTCGGGGTCGGTGAACGATCCTCACAACGGTGAGCGGCGATCGCGTTAAACTGGGTACCGCTTCGGATGGGGTGCGGGTACACCTTCAAAGAAGGCGATGTTTGCATTGAGTTCTCGGACTCGGTTTATGGTCCCGTCTTCTGCTTGCATAGTGACTGCTGCTGGTCATGGTTCTTCCATCGGACATGTCGTGAGAGAGGCGGATGCCATGGTTTGCGTCAAGGGGACCGGGATGCCTCACTGCGCAAGGCGGACTAACTTTGTGGCAACAAAGAAAAGACAACATACCATGCTAACCTGAAGGTTGCAAGAGTTGGCTGCTCCATCATGCGGTCAGCAAGGAGAATCCGATGAGTCTTGGTGGCCTGTTGCCTCAGTCGCTGTGAAAAAATGCGCAGGTGTGGGCTGCGGCGATAAAGATACCCCCCGTTCCCCGAGCCCCACGCCTCCCGGAAGGTACGGCGTTTTGTCTGATATTTTGCGGAAGATGTGTTGCACCATGGCGAGGAGTTGGCATAGCGGGCATTGGTCAACTTGTAGATACACTCTGCGGAGTCGGAGTTCTTCGAGTGGACGTTATTCTCGATTCGCTCCAGGCTGATCCATGATGCATTGGATTCTGCTGCTTGTGATAGGATTGAGTATCTATTGGCCTATGGGCACTTGATGCTGAGGAAACTGTTGTCCGGAAAGTTCGGGAAGTCGGCAACACAAGACAAGAACTAAGTGGCTGAAAGAAAGCAAACAGAACGACGCACGGAAAAAGCAGTGCTCTGAGCATTGTCCTTAATACATCTTAATATTGCTTGTGGTCTCAGGGTCGGCACAGGTTGAATCAGTGCGAAACTGAAAAAGGTACTGCGCCGGGGCTGGTCGACTGCTTGACAAGGCTGATTCTTGATTCTGAGCACACCGTGAGTCTAAACGTATTTGGCCGGCAGCAGCAGCAGCACCACCACCACCACAACACAACCACCCCCAGCAGCAGCAGCAACAGCAACGAAGACGGCCACGACGACGACAACAGCAGCACGCCAACAAACAGGAAACTGGAGAAGTGTCTGGACATGCATCAATGGACCAGCATTGCGGTGGGCAGTGCATACAACATCGTAAAACCCCAGTCGCCTGACTATCATCAAGCAGATGTTCTGGCCTTCCCGGAGCTGCAGGTGATGCTGGGTGGCTTTGCTCCAAGGCTCGCAGTTTCCGCACGCCATGGTAGACAGGGCAGTTGATCTCCTCGTCGGTTACGTCCACTATCGCAAAGAGTTGCCGAGCTCACACCCATGCTACAGAGGAAGTATATCATGCGAGCACACGTGCTCAAGCCCTTACCGAATTGATTATCAACTCACAAGACTTCTGTCTCAAATCGGGCCATACGCACTGAAGTTGGAATCCGCCCGCGTGGTGAAACGAAAACAGTGCAGTGAAAAACTGGCAGAGCAGGTTTTGCACAAAAACTCCTTGCTGCTACTACACAACGCATGCTCACCGTGCTGTTCACGGTCTATACTGTGAAGCTGCGAACTGCATAACTATCTTGTGTATTCACTTGTTGGTTTGCAGCATAGTATGAATATCTGAACCTGCCGCCGGTTTGTTTACCCCAACACAAGGCGAAGGTGGCCCTGACACATGTCACTGTTGGCATGTCAACATGAATGAGCTCGCCCGAGCCCTCCCTACATTCAAATGGCCCCCGCCACAATTGTGTTAACCTCAACGAGCCCCAACAAAGCAAAACACCAAGCACTTGCCAACTGCATGGAGCTTGGTCACTCGATTCTGCCTCCTTAAAGGTCCAAGAGACGTTGCTTTGGTCCAGATCGCAATTGCCAAAGGACCCCCTGTGGAATGCCGGGTATTCGGTCGTGCCGCAGACCACATTCCGTCGCAATCTCCCCCATGCATTGTCATCGATCGAGAAGGCATGCACGCGGCTGGATCTCCCATCGATGAAACAGGAACTAAGCTCGTCAGTGCGTAGTCTGTGTCTGTAACTCCTGTGGTCTCTGTCGCTCTCTGGCTACAACTCTCGAAACAGCCAAGGATCTCTATGGTGGCAGCCGTGTCTCTGCCCAGCCAAATACAGCTATTCAAACTCGCGCGCAACCCTTGATCATTCAACTCGCCTCAACAAGGCAGCGCAAAGGAAACATCCAGCCAGCCAGCAAGTTTTCTTGGGTTTCGTGCTCATAAAGCGCTGGGTGAGGAGTTGCTAGCACGGCTGTGTTGCGATCCAGTTGCCCTGAACTTGGAAGCTGCAATGCCGAATTACTGGTGCCCCGCTCTTGATCACCAGACTCATGTTGCTGTCGCAGTCAACAAGCTCGGCCTCTGTTGCATCGATGAAGCCTTGGTTGAAGCTGTTGGTAACTGTTGGTATAAACAGGTTCATTTCGTGAGAAAACCGATCTACACACATCACGATTAAGCCAGCAATGCAATGCCCAGGACACACTCAGAAGTACCCACTGTAATCATCTGCGTGTACTGGGACTCCGGATCACAACGGAAGCAAACGGACTCAATCTTCACGCCACGAGATGCTATCACGATGCTTCCTCGGTTGCCGCTGTCCTGCAGCTTTCCTGCAACTTGCGGGATGCCAGTCCGAGCCAGGCAAACAAACGAACCAAACTCCGACAGGCATCCCATAAGCACTGTGTCGGACTTGCGCGATGCCATGCTGCGCCGAATCAGCACGGGCTTCTTTAACCTGCAAGAGATGTGGATATGCCCGTGCAGAGCGTAACTAACAGTCAGGCTGCCACGCAATGTGCTGCAAGAACTCCTGTTGCTGACCTGAATGCCAAGCCACTCCAGAAGCTCAAAGCTGTGAATGCCTTCCGGGATCCTGAGCTAGGCTGGGACAGCTGCAGCCTCCTTCGGACAAAACTGGTGTACTGATGTCTAAACTCGGAACGGAAGCAGGCTACTCCATTTCGCTTTGAGCCTCGCGTCTCAACTATGGTGTATGGAACTGCCTGCTCAAGGATGCGCTCCAACGAAACACCATCACGGCCAACAACCTTGCGCCGCACAGCTTGCACCACTCATGGCTCGCGAATGCGATGCATCTGAATTAGCTGCAGGGGCTCGGATGGGTGGACCGCTTCGTGCCAGTTTCATCTCCCGAACTTCGGCGCGCAACGCCTGCACTGACCAACACCAAGCTTTCATATTGTCACAGAGCCCTTCACGCGCAGACCTTTCAGAACAGACTGCAGTGCCGCCTCCATCTGCCGCAGGAGTGCCTGCACTACAGCGACCGAAGCATCTTCTGGCACTATGGGTACCGCATGATACTGATGGGGCCAACTTCCGCAAAGCAGCTCCACTATTTAACTAACTTGACATCTCAGAGGAGACTATTCAAAATCTGAAATTCTTTTCGCACTGAGACCAGCTGCATCCCGATCGCGTTGAATGGCTTGCACTTCTCGAGCCAGCCGAGCAACTTCCTGACTTGGTCGAATTTGCTTCGTTCAAGCCCAAGGCTGGATAAGGCATTCAGGCTGGGTCCTGGATCACCACATCTGCAAAGGATGGGCCTTTCAACAGGCGGGACTGAATCTGTGTTGGCGAAGCACCATCTGCGGCAGAAGGCTTCTGCATCTCTTTGAAATGCCAACGGCCTGTGATGTCCTGTGTGACGATTGGGGTGTAAAGCACGACGCACGCGTGGTGTGACTTTAACGTTGCGCTTGTGCGATGCCTTCTTTCGTACCAGTCCGTCTTGTGCCGAAACGCGCAAAACATGCCCATGTACATGCATGCATGTCGGCAGGCAGGCAGGTACAGTAGGTCATTAGGTCCTCATTAGGTAGGCAGGATTACATATATTCCAAGTCTCCCGCCTTCAGAACCTGGCTACCTCCACAGCAGGGGTGACTCCCGAAGCTTCACTCATTCAGGGGCCGCTGGGCTCCAGACCTGAATTCTGAATATGCCAACATGAAATCGTGACAACTCAAAGGCGGAAAGATATGTCGAAGTCACCCCACCAAAGAAACCACGTCCAGCCGCTCGTTGAACACGGAGCATTTTTCTTGCAGGTCGTCTACGGATCTTCCTCTGTCACATGAAAGAACATCTCGCTCGACAGCACTGGGTCGAGGCGTTGCCTTGACCGACAGCTTGCGAAGATGCACAGCAACTCTCAAGCTGCTGACCGCGGGTCTGCAGCGGCATTGGTTGGTGACCGCGCAATGGACTCAAGTCTTCTGCTCCGCATCCGCCCACACGGCGGTGAGGCAAGGCGGCAAATCACTTCACTCGCCCGAAGGAATCACCACCCCGGGCACACAAGATTCCGTGAGCAAGATTGTGAAACCAGAAATCCGCATCGCATCACAAAAGGTCTTGGAGTCTTGGGCAGGCGAGCAGAAGGACGATGCAACTGTTCCGTGCTGCTAAAGGAATCTTCCGTCAGTTGCAACTCCAGATTGCTTCTGGCAGACGGATATGGCAAAACAGCGGAATGAAAGCCCACACATCGGAACCTATCGTGTGCCGGTTTTGCATGAGCGGCAAGAAGTGGGCAGACCAGCCAGTGGCTGATCAGTCTCCCCGCAGGCCTCAGGATGGCAGCAAGGACATCCTGGCCGGGAATGGATCAGTGTACGTCCAGCCGTTCGCGTTTCTCGAAACCAACTGAAGCGGCGCCATTGTGGCTCTCCGGGATCGATCGCCTAACATTACACACAGGCATAGACAATCTAAGTCTGTGCAGCTTTTGTTTGGAGCGAGCATATGTCGAAGCTGGCTTTGAGAGTCTGTCCGAATATGTTTCATCGGACTCGACAGAAACAAGGTAATCAGAACAGCTGAATGCTTCATCACAAGAAGTCTTCAAGAACAGCTCTGCTCCAGTCCTGTCACGACTAGCAATGCCCGAAGCAGACCACGGGCTCAAAAGCTTTCCTCCAAAAACACGACATTGGCAGTGGACTGCATGCCGCATTTCTGGTGCACAGGAGACTCTGATCATTCGAGGTCTGCCTCGGCTCCCATCGGGCCAGGCCGAAGCACGACTGACTTGTGCCATGATGTTAGCCCTGTGTCACGCTAGACGTCGATTTCTTCCCATACTCCTTCAGCAGCCAGTTTGCAAAGACCTTCGGGATGCATCGGAACCAAACATGAGTGCATTTGGGAACAGGGCCGCGGCAGATGCCCCTGCCTTGAAGGCCGAGTGACGTTGTTGCCGATACATTGTCAGCTGCTTCTCGGACATCTCTGCCAAAGTCAGACCGTCAGCACCGTCCACTGCATCGTCTGGTATGAACACTTCGAAAAGCTGGCCAGACTCCTGACTTGAGAAGAACTGTGACAAGAGCACTGACCCACGACGCAAGATGACGCAAGAACCCTGTGAGCTTAGTAAGCCTCAATAACCTCCAATGGCCACTGGGCGGCATGACCCCACGTTCTACCGACGATAGTGCCCTCAGAATTGTCAGAGCGAGCTCTGGACGCCCGCAGACTTCCGAAGTACTGCGTCGGCTCTTCGAAAATGTGGACTTTGCCTGTGCACGGCGACACAAGTTGCACGGACGTGAGGTGCCGAGCCATCCCTGTTCTGCCTTGCCGCTTGAGACTGCCAATAATTCTGTGCTACCGGTACCGATGCGACAGCGCTTGGGAGCTATGCTTCTGTGCCCACAAGAGGTGCCTCGAGCATCTGCGAAGCCAACGCAAGCGGCAAAGCCACATCGGCGGTTCGGCTGCCCCTCCATAAGTTTCAGAAGCCCGTCCACGCCAATAGTTGCCAGAACATACTTTGTGTACGGCCCTGGGAAGCCATTCAAGGCTTGGATCACGAAGCCACTGTCCTGCATTCACAGACAGCAGCGACCATATGGATTAGGTGTCCTGGGCTTGCATACTGGGATATACTGGGCGAGTCCTGCACCACCACATTCCCACCGAGCAAACCAAAAGCTGCCTCAGTTTTTGCTGCACAAATCTTGGCCACGGAGTCTGCTTGGAGCTCGGGCAACTCCATGTCGCACATCTCCTAAGCGACAGAGTCTGACAGTGGGCAAGCATGCAGGATCGCTGATCCCTTGCTAAGGAAAAAAGTGGAAGGCGAAGCGCTTCGAGTAACGACCGACTGCAAGATGCCCTCGGCCGCTGCACTTTCCAGCACGACCCGCAAGAAGTCCACTTTGCCACGATTGGTTGTGACGAACCGCAAGCTTATTTTGTCATCTTCCCCATCGTCCTCCATGTGGCTGTCCGCAGCTGGGATAGACTGCCCGTTTTCGAAGAAAGAGCACCCGGCTACCAAGACACGGACAACGCTCAGGGGCTGTCGGTGAGCACAGGGGCGAGTAAATCTTAAACACCTTGTCTGGCAGGAGACGCTCGGGCCTAGATTGTACTTAGGCCATCCTCTGAAGGAGGCTTTCTTGCACACATGGGTAATCAGCCAGAGAAAATGGGCATTGCATAATGCAGCTCACGCGATTTTTGGGCGGACAGTCGATTGTAAGCGGCTTGTAGCATAGCGCTCATGCGACTGACGCCAAGTTTCGCAGGCTGGTTCTGGTCATGGTGCCCGGACAAGCGGCTAGTGCTATCGCAACCAGATGTTCTTCGAAGGTGCACCTACAAACGGCTACTACAGGCCTCAATCATCGACTCAGATCGAACAGCAGCCACCGCCACCGCCACCGCCACCACCACCACCGCCACCACCACCACCACCGCCACCACCACCACCACCACCACCATCACCACAACACCAGCACACACCTGAACGCACCAGCACGCACCAGCACGCACCAGCACGCACCAGCACGCACCAGCACGCACCAGCACCAGCACCACGCCGCCACCACCACGCCGCCACCACCACGCACCACCACCACCACCACCACCACCACCACCACCACCACCACCACCACCACCACCACCATCACCACAACACCAGCACACACCTGAACGCACCAGCACGCACCAGCACGCACCAGCACGCACCAGCACGCACCAGCACCAGCACCACGCCGCCACCACCACGCCGCCACCACTGCCACCACTGCCACCACCACTGCCACCACCACTGCCACCACCACTGCCACCACCACTGCCACCACCACTGCCACCACCACTGCCACCACCACTGCCACCACCACTGCCACTGCCACTGCCACTGCCACTGCCACTGCCACTGCCACTGCCACTGCCACTGCCACTGCCACTGCCACCACCACCACCACCACCACCCTGAAACCAACAGCAGCAGCAGCAGCAACAACAACAACAACCAGCAACAGCAACCAGCAATAGCAACCAGCAGCAACAACCAACAACAACAACCAGCAACAACACGAGCACCAGCACCAGCAGCAGCAGCAGCAGCAGCAGCAGCAGCAGCAGCAGCAGCAGCAGCATCTGCATCAGATCGTCATCGTCAACGTCATCAACAACACGAAGCCATAATGACCAGTCCAAGAAACAGTCGTGGCTCCTTTCTTCTGCTACTACTACGACTGTTGCTATTACTCTTGTTTTTCATCCTCCCACTACAGCAGCCACCACGACCACCACCACCACCACCACCACCGCCACTGCGACACAACCCCTAGCTTCGTTTCCAAGGCTGGCTAGCTAGAAGCTAGCAGCAGCCGCGAGACCAGCAAGCGCAGTAGCAGAAGCACGTGCGAGAGAAGGCAGCAGCAGCTGCGGCAGCAACGGCAGCAGCAGCAACAGCCCGGCGCACCGGCACCAGCAAAGAAACCAGCAGCACTGAAACCACAAGAAACGCGCGCCATGCTGGCACCACAAACACCACATCGAACAAGAAACAACGGCACCAGCAACTCCCATCGCTATTGCCACCACGAACAACACTGGATACCCATTCATCCCGGAGATTGAGAGCATATACTTATCTCAGAAACATCTTTCTGAACATCTGTGAAGCAGATGGGTACTGGCTTTCCCGCTCAGGGAATGCGACGAAGCAGCGGCCTTGACACAGTCACCAAAGCATCTCGTCTAAGGCCTTCATTACTGAGCAATACTGAGCAACTCGCTTGGGATCTACGAGGTGCACAGTGCCTTGACGAGATTCGTCCTGAAGCACAAAGATGACGACAGCGACTGACTCAGGAGCTGTCCGGCCGAAGCTGCACGGCAACAGGCATTTTCGACAAGCACTGCTGCTCAAACAGTACTGAGCACGAATTCAAGCACAGTCTTTGTACAGTGCGTCCTTGCACCTCTCAGAGCTCGTAGTTGTCCAAAGGCTCAGTCTCTTCTCTAGGTCCTGACTTAAGACCGAGTGCCATAAGGTATGTCAGTGTGTATATGCCAACACCGATCGACAGAATGACCGTGATCGAGCCGATGATCTCAAACCAGCTGCTGCCCGTCTTTTCTCTCACAGAAGGGTCACGCAATGTGGCTTTTTGAAGAAGCTCTTTGGGCGAGTCCTCAAGCCAGCCGCGAATCTCAGCCTTGATCTTCGCTTTGTCTGTCGGCCAAAGTCCTGTGACATCCTCTTCCAAGAGCTTGGAGATGCTCTTTGACACCAATGTTTTTTCATTCACGGAGACCTCAAGCTTCTGAGCTCGAGGCTTGATCTTAAACATCAACTTGAGGCCATTGGGGAACCTTAGATCGTGCGTTCCCAAAACACATGCTGCCAGGCCCTGCGCGACATGCATGCTTGACCAGCTTAAGATCACAGTGAGATAAGCACAAGATCTGCTTGCTGCGCGCATCTTACCAACATTCCGAGTTTGTGCAGAGAGACCAGTCGACGAACATCTCCTGCATTGAATATGCCTGCTCGTGGCTGGTGCAACCATCGACCAGCACCTGGCATGCTGTAGGAAGGCTCCCCGCTTCTGAAATCCAAGCCATGCTAGCACAACACGCGCAAGGCGCATCCCTGCTGGACAAGAAGGCAACAAAAAGCTTGTCGCACCTCCGCGGCTGGCTTCATTTTGGTCATGGTTGTTCCATCCAGCTGGATTGCGGTCGCCATGGCTGACCCGTCCGTCATGGCAGAGTGGGCTCGCTTGTACTCTTCATGATTAATGACTGATCTAGCGGCGTTGTCAGCATGTAATCAGCATGTTATGCATGACAAACTGAAGCTGCCTTTTGCATCGGACCAGTCCTACCTACTGACCATAACTAAGTGCTGAGCTGCACCGCCGGCGAGTTCGAGATGACTTGAATTCTGTGCTGACATCTCAAAGACTTCTTGCGATTTTGCAGCTCCTCACATCCATTTGCCAAGCGCCGTCCACTTTGCTGCACCTTCGGCCCGGCTTGACAGAAACCTTGCTGAGCTTCTGCACCCGAGACAATAAGCGCCAGGATGACTTGTAACGCTTGGAAGTATGATGCGCGCTCTGGAGGAGGCCTGACAAGCATCCAGGAGTTTTCCTTAAACTTAAACTGTCCCGCTTTGACGAACCCATGCCCGTGTCAGCCTTATGGTCATGACGGGCAGGTCGAGGCCCATCCTGTCAAGCCTGCCCTCCAGGGCCTCAGCCACTCATTCAGTTGCCAAGTGTTTCACACTTCACACAATGCATCCGCAACCAGAACAATCGCTGCGCACCTCCAGCCGCTGCTTTAAGGCTGTGTTGGAGTCGGCCTGGTGCCATCTCTTCTCACAGCGTCAAACCAGCATCACGCTCTCGACAGGTGATCAGTCGAGGAAGATGGGCTCGGGCCTGTTCCACGACCTGCGGCTGCAACAAGCATGTGCAAACGTTGAGAAAACCCGACCGTTGCTTGACAGCCAGGTGCAAAACCAACCTGCCTTGGTGAGCAGCCGCATCTCTTCAGACGATTTCTGCGATCAGTACGGCAAAACATGCACGAAATGTGCTTGATGATGCCAAAGTGTGCTTTGACCATCTTTGACCTTAAAGCAGGACCTTGGTGCAAGAGTTCTGAGACCTGCATGTGTGATTTGGTGCTGTTCTTCCTTCCGCTTCTGCACCCGTAGTCGAGAGAGAGAGAGAGAGAGAGAGCGAGCGAGCGAGAGGCACACTTGTAGAGAGACGACACCACCTGTACATGGCCATGGAAAATGCTTATGAAGCTGAGTGGTGTTCCTGTCGCCTGTTAGCTGTTTATGGACACGTCAAACCATCGGCCAAACTTGCACCCAAATCAAAACTCGCCCGCATGCCTCCGGCGAAGGGAAGATCTCTGGAGCCTGAACCTCTGAAGCCTAGCTGCGACCACTACTGCCTTCACAAGCCGGCAATTGCTTGATACATGTTGCTACTGCTGTGCTACTCCGGCGACCACGACGAGGACGACTTCTTCTACTCCTAAGTACTGCTACCTACTTGTTCTTTCCATTTCCTGCTTCTTGTTGCTTCCTTCTTCCGCTTTCCTCCTTCCCTACTTCTGCCTTGTCCTGCTGCTCCTGCCGCATCTGTTTTCTTCGTATCCGCGGATGGCCAAGCGTCTAAGCCATGCTTTGGTCATTGCGCCGGGGCAGAGTGAGGAGGACAGGACAACGAGACAAGTCACAGAGCACATGCGCAAATAACAATGCCAAATCAAACATAGAAACAGGCTGGGCCGAATCGAAGGATACGAGTGCTCACATGACTGGCCTGTTCCAGCCCGCGGCGAAGTGGTGCCAACCTTGTTGGTCGTGTACTGATTCTCATGTAGCCCATCAGAACCGACAAAGCAAGTGGTTGTGTGTGTGTGGGGGTGAGGGGACGATTCTGCTTGACTCGAGAAACACCTCACAAGAATGTGACGACATGTAAGCAACATCATGCAACATCCTGCAGACTTCAAGGCTCGATGTGGCAATGTTACATGCGGCGTGGCACTCAGTGGAAATGCCTACATATGCGGGCCGTCCTTGCATCACGTTGTTCTGAATCAACGAATCATAAGCGATACAACTTGCACTGTCTAGAATCTTCGTCATTATCGCATTGCATTCGTCGAAGTAACAATGTCACAGCCTCTGTGTTTCCGCTCCGCCGGAAAAAGCTACACGGTGTGGGCTGCAGGAGCAGCCATTCGATGCAGGCGGCGAAGCTGCGAAAACCGACGAAAGCTGCGAAACTGCGAGTTCGGCCCGGAAGCTGCGAAAGCTGCGAGCCCATTGTCGATTTTTGTGCCAACACCGTCGTAGCACAACGTGCCCCGCCCTGGCGCCGTGGCGTGCTGTTCCACACGGGCCCTCTTTTCCTTCCACCTTCCCGCCTCACCCTTGGACTGCACTCTCAAAATCTCTCAGATAACGCAACTCAACCCGACCCGAAGCCCAACTTGCCCAACCCACCCAAACTAACTACCAAACCGGACGACGCAAGAGCAAGAATCGAAAAAAAACACAACCCCAAACCCCGACCGCTGATCCTGGGGTCCAAACCCGGCACGAGCAAACCACAAATGACAAGACTTAGCACGAGGCCAACGCCCCAACACAAAGCCGCAACCACGCAACTTAAGCAAATCCAACTTAGCCCGCGCACACGGAGCCAACCGAATTAAAAAACAATCCCCATGACCCAGCGCACATGCCGTCTTTTTGTCCATGATCCTTGTCTTTTTGTGCCTCAGGTATACTATGTACTTCTTGTGATAGACACATACATGCTGTATACTATACACGGCATAGTGTACATTACACTCTACAAACAATATACTGTCTTTTACAAAGGAACAGTATATACTATATGTTGCGGATACGATGTACAAGCACCCTATGTGTTGCACACCTACGAAACACAAAACAATTTAGATTTTATACTTCATAAGTTACAGATTGTATACGACATATCACATGTAACCTATCGCGCGCTATAGGCCTTCTGTGATATTATATTCGTCCATATCTGTTTAGATACCATGTACCATGTAACATGCATCATATATCATACATCGTATGGCATTCGGCCATATATCATATGCCATATGTGGTTTTCCATTCATCATGTCACACATATCATAAACCACATATTTGATATTGCATGTTACTCGTTGTATATGTAGATTCTCACACACATTCATTCAGCAGCAATAGACCCCAACAGCGTGTGTAGTCGTGTGCGCAAACGGACGAGAAGGACACTCCGCAGGAATTGAGGAGTGTTGAGGTGTTGGGCAGGCATGTCTTTACAGGCGGAGCAGTTTGGAAGCAGCGCTGCTTTTCATGAATTGCAGCTTGGAGTGGCTATCAAGAAGGGGAGGCCAACATAGGCCCCCTTCAGGCAATGCAAATAATGTGATACGCGATGGATCCTCCAGGTACTTCCTCACAGATTCCGTCCGATTCGTCAATGTTGACTGAATCCTGCAGGTACTTCCTCAAAGATTCCGTCCGATTCGTCAATGTTGATTGAATCCTCAACAAAGACCACACCTCGTCCTTGAATCCCCAAGTCGTCCGGAACTGAGGAGCAGGTGTTCGAAATTTGGGAAGTGCGCCACGTTAGCGGCAGGATGACGGTCCAATCCAACTAGCCTTTAGCAGTTGGCATGGCTCCACCGCAGGAATGGGCGGAATAGTATTTGCCATCCTTTCAATGGCTCCTTCTCCATCGACCGCATCAGCTGAACCATGAGGTGCTTCTGATTCTCCCCTTGCTGGTGCGGCTTGCCCTTGCGGGCAGCTGTTTACCGAAAACACACCTCAGTTTTGATCGATGTAGGCGCTACCTTGCTACGATCCTCTGCTGAAGATCTCGATGCAGGGCAGGCGAGCAGTGGTCCTCGGTCGCCAAGAACTGGGACATCGCCTCGTAGTTGGCATTGCACCCTTCGACCATCTGGGCAAATGAAATATGGCACCTCACCCTTCGGCCAATGAAATGAAAACTCTTGTTCCATGCACTTCTTACCCACGGAGCAAACTTAACGAACTGCAACGGGTTCCCAAGTGCCTCGATGCAAACCTCATGCTTGGTGTCAGCGTCTGCTGGGCCATTGGCGGTAATCAAACTTGCCGTACTCGGGGGCATCCTCTTGGCCTTGTCCTTGAAATGAACCTCTAGATCAGAGTTGCTGATAAGATCGTCCTCACTACCGGTGTCTGCGATGATCTCTAGCTTGGACTCGTCGGCCCTTGCTGCTGCAGCGATCAACGGGAGAGGTTTTCCGCGGCTTTGCAATGAACGCAGAAACCGTCCGTCCCATGACACTTGTATCCACACTTCACCTGAACACCGAGCTTGATGCCATTGCGACTGACTCACCTTTCCAAGGGCTCCTTGTAATCCCGAGTCTTGAAGTTGTCTGACTTCTCTACGAAGGCTCTCGACCCCTCGGATCCATATATCCCCCTCGGCATTGCCCTTCAACCTCCAAAAGAGAACCGGGCAATGATCGGGATGAGGGACATAGAGACTGCTCCTGAACTTCTGATGGATCCCAGTGCACATGCCCTTGTCCTCATCAACAACCCAATGACCCCTCGGATTGGCGTCACCCTTGCGGGCGGCTAGCATGAAACGCATCCCAACATCATGCTTTGGCTCACCTGTGAAGGTGGCTGAAGAGGAGATGCAGCAAGCTGCTGCGTTTTTTGCACTCTTACCCCTCTTCTTGCTAGGGCGCCTGCGCTTGGATGATGGCGACCTTGCCTTACCACCTTTGCCGTCATTCTTGGCCGGGACAGATGGGCTGGCATCCTTGTGGAGAAACGGGCTTCTTGCCATTCCTACAGGTGCCTTTACTGTAAAAGTTGCAAGGGACCTTTGAAGTATCCTTTCTGCTCCACCTCTACCACCTTTCCCTGAACTTTTACCGCCTTTCGAAGGGGATCTCGGGGGCGTTTTGCCTCAAGACGGGTCGGCCTTTGAATGCTCATATGGGCCTTGCTTCTGGGACACTTACCACGTTGAAATGCATAAACAGGTCTCTCTTCACCTCGTCCACGGGGAGTGTCGGGTGCATCAGAAGGTGTAGGACTTAGCGCCGTGTAACCTGGCGATTGCTGTTCTGTTACGCTCCTTGACACACTTCAGAAGGTACTCATGAGTATGTTCTGCGGTACCTTCCTTAGCCCTATCGTAAACCCCCAGATCAAACTTCAACTTGCTCGAATTCCGGAGCACGCGACGGAGAATGTCTCTCAATGTTGTCTCTTCCGGCTGGTGGTTGAGCCCCACTATCACAGGCTCCGAATTCTGTGTGAAAGTGCCGAGATCGTCATCAACGGAGTAAAAGGAGCCCGCCTTTTCGTTGGTCTTAAAGCAATGCTCAAACATGAGCAACACTTGCCTACCACGGACAGCCCTTTCTGCGGATGCTTCGGATTCTCTGTAGTTGATGATCTGACTTCTCCTGTGGCTACCCGGGATAACGCTGAAAGAATCTTCGTATCGAGGGTAAGGAACTTGCCGGTGTCTCTAAGGAGTTCGATGTCAGCGCTACGTTCGTAC